GTTTTTAGGGCGTCTATCCAGCTCGCCTACGTAAAGTAGTGATTGTTGCCGCGCCGTTTTGGTTCAAGGCGCCCTACAAACTTCTCCGACTCTTTGTTATGGAGAAGATGCAAGATCGGGTCAGTAAACTTGACTTAAATGTCCATTTTTTTAACAAACAGATTATTGAGTTACTTCCTATCTGTTATACAACTGATTCGAAGTTTACCTGGGACTCATGTCCCTTGCTGCTTAAATTATCAATTATTAGAAAAATTGCCCAGAATAAATATAATTTAATTATTGGAGATCATTATGATATAATCATATTTGATCAAACCCTTTTATTTTCATTAGGAGTTCCTATATCCCTGGCATAAACAGATCGGAGAATACTATCCTCTTCGAGACATTATCTTTCTTAGTCCTGACTATATTAAAGTTATAATATGGATATTAATATTTTATTCCTCTAATTTTATTTCCCTTGTTAACTATGCATTCGTTCTTAGTTCTATTATAACCCTTTTTTATCAGCTATTCTTGAAACCTCAGACCCATACCAGACCACACTTTGTCTATCCTCACGAATTCAACTTTACTAATTGTTTAATCGAAGGTATGAAGACCAGGATGGTGTGGCCTTTTGTATGGTCGCGGTCTCCTTTCGTTTTATAGAAGTTGTTTGACCTTGGTTTCGCAACTTAGTCATATTAACAGGAAGACCTAGAGAAACGCACCTTGTTCGGAGTCCATAGTATGCATGATCATTTCCAGATTTGGACTGTGGACGTGATACATTCCCAGACGTCTCGCCGGCTTCGTAGTCTGCATCATCAGTGAGTCTTTTCATTCTCAGCAAACCAAGCTACAACTCGTCAAAGAGACAAGTAAAGTCGATCCCTTGACCAACTTTCTGTAGAGACTGTTATGCTATCGCTCATCGTTTTGTCCTGGTCCCTTCATCCATTTCCTACCCTACGTGCTAATAAAGGCCTGAGAAAAAGTACCTGAAGTAAATGTAAGCTGGGGCTGGAACCAAGTAAAATTGGTCAACCAGAAAGATAAGAAACGGACCCACAGGCCCATGAGGCAGATCCGTACTGGAGACTAGAGCAGGATCAGCCACTTGAAGGGGAGAGAAGCAAGGTAAACAGTCAGTGGGATGACGCCACGGTAAATTTTCCAAAAGGGCACATCTCTTGTGGAATATAAACAAGTCAGAAGTTGTGATAGAACGAGGACGAGACTAGAGGGTAGGAAATGGGTATAGGAATTTGGACAAAACGAGGAGTGATAGCATAACCGTCTCGACAGCAAGTTGGTCAAGGGATTGACTTCATTTGTCTCTTTGACAAATGGTAGCTTGGTTTGCTGAGAATGGCAAGACTCACTGAATATGCCGGCGAAACGTCTGGGAATGTACCAAATCCACTGTCCGACTCTGGAAATGATCATGCAGATCCGATCATGATCTGACTCCGAACAAGGTACGCTTCTCTAGGTCTTCCTGCTAAGATGACCAAGTTACGAAACCAAGGTCAAACAACTTTTACTCATGGTTTTTCACTATAATTTTTTGAGACTCTAACCAAAATTCTTCCGTTTTTCCACTCCTTCAAACTCAAGAGGGATCCCCATATGTGATGTTTGACTCGCGGTCATGAAAAGCTAATTCATCATTAGTACCATAGATGTGTCAATTTCATATTTTTATTTGGGGGGCTTTGGACATAATGACTTGTCCTGAAGTTTAGCTAGGATTTATTGTAATGCGAGTTTTCTCTTAGCTGTCATTTTGTGCATATCACCTTCAACATTGAAAACCGTGTATCTTTTCACTATACGAATTTATGACCTACCTTAATTTTGCGTTAGCCACTAATAATTATAGTGTTATTAGGGCCTATGTGAGTCATTAACCTGGTTCTTTAGCTTTGGCGACGCAATTATATTTCTCAATTATTAGGTGATTGTCTTTCATATTTCATCTATTCGTTTATACATATATATTACTATATACGCACGCGTACACACTGGCTCATACTGCGTAGGTTTTTCTCGTCGAACCGAATAAGTTGTTCATGCACATACCAGCCAGCGCATTACCAACTTGTTTGGGTGGCCTCATAGAACACAAGCACGAGGCCTGGCTGCAAGAATGCGTTAAACGTCTCCAACTGACAAATCCATTACCCGATGATTACTTCTCTCGGCCTATCAGACTCCGAATCTACCAGTTGGCTAATGGTAGCCGTCCTACTGACGACAGTGACTGCGAATCTGGTCATGATAGTATACTAGTGACAGCTGCTTCTCTTAATTCGGTGAGATAGTTTAACTTTTATTTCTATCTATAAACTCATTTGTCTATTTATAAAAGTGTTGATTGTAACTAGCTTTCATTGTCATTTGCCTTAATGTTATATCCTAGAAAGTAGGCTTCTGGCTATCACTAGATGCCTTGACGACTTTAATAGTGAATTTGTTTAACGTAGTGTAATCATAAATATGAGCTTTAGTCACCCTAGGTCGCTTAAAGTGATAAGATTTGATACTTGAATTTCTCCATAATCAAATGAGCTGGTCTCATGATATCATTGAATTGTATTTAGCCTTGACTCTGAGGGTGAACGGAAGCTTTCTAAAAAGATGGGCTAGTGAAGAAGTGGGACATTAGTGCAATGCATAATTAGAAATGTTTCCAGGATTTTGGGCCCTCCATTTAATCAGGGTTTTATAGGGTTTTGTACCACAGTGATAGCGTTTATTTAAAGTTTTTCCTCTTTAAAGTACTCGATCAACTTCGGCTGCAGAAATTTTTCATTAGTTTTTCGTTAGGCTAATGCTATCCATGACATCATTTTCCATTTCGAAAGACAAGTTTGTTAGAAAGAATTCGTAAAACGGTCTTATCTGAAGCCGAAGGAGCATTGCTGCGGGGTGAAGACTGTTGGATTGTACGAAGAAGTCCTTGGCTCACCGTCCTGCGACCTCGATCAATCGGTGCTAAGCTTTGGTCTGTACTGTGACAAACATCATCAAATCTAGAATCCATACTTTACGAAATAGAGCAAAATCTACTAAATGTAGGGAAAAGATGGCCGGCTGCAACTCTAGTCACTTTTTTATACACATAACTTAAATATATATATATATATACATTCGAATCTTTTAGGTTCAGTTTAGATGAATCAAGTTGATATTTTACCCTTTTTGACTTACTGAGTTGTTCGGTCTTAGTTTTTCAACGTGGTCATTTTTTACGGGAGACTTCCCGCCTCCTTTACACATTCTTTGTCATTATTATCATGTGTTCTTCCAAAATCCTACTATTGACTGAGTACATTCCAACAATAAGAACTTATGAGGTGTATCCACCCAATTTCCTTTAAAGGGATGAGGAGATTGTAAGTTGCTTTTTCTTACAATGTTATGAATAGGCCTCACTTTTTCATTGAATTTCACATAGCGTTCCTTTCCCAAACGGTATTTTCATCCAAGTTGAACTTACACAGGTCTTCTCAGCACCCCTAGCGGAGTTCGGAAACCTACTTATAAACGAAGAATAAAAACTCAGACACCTTATGTTTCCTAAATTTATTCATTCTCCTCACGATATTTTTGATATTTGCTTAATTTTGCCTCCTAAAATGTTTTATTATCCAGATTGGACGTTAGTTTAGCCAGCATCTTCAAGACATAACATTTAGTACAGGATTCGCTCTTCGAAACCCTAATGAAAACATGATTAAGTTTTCAAGCCTAACAGGTATGTATGTAGCAAAAGGAGGTCGCAGTCAATACAACGCTTCAAAAGCTTGGTATTTGTACCTTGGATCTACATTATTTAAACAAATTGAGCTAAGCATAATTGTAGGTCGCTACTTTACATTGCATAAAAGGCCTACTTGAATTGTGTTTTTTATTTACTTAACTAACTAGTTATTATAAGAAATATTATGTGCGGATACAAAATATTAATTTTTAAAGTGAAAGCTGTTGTCATTATCCAGGGTCCGATATTTGCGTTGAGATGACTTATCCCGATTGATTTTAATTTGTTCCTGTCTCTAAATACTTTTTCATCACCATCCATAACTTATTTTTTGCCTGGTTGCGAGCTTAGATAGGCAACGCTTCATCACCACTTCCAAAATGGAAATGCCTTATAGTGGACATGGGTCCTGTTAATGAGGCTCAGTGACAAGGCCTTTATTCACTAAAGTGACCTTTTGGGCAATACCTTTACTGGTTGTTTTATACCTAAATACATCTAGTTTTTGCGTTTTTATGTCCGGTTTTTCATTTTCTCTATTCATTTTTAATATTCATTTCTTAGCTAAAATGCTACGTTTAATCTTCATTTTTTCTGCATTCCTCATTACTTACCATTTTCGTAGAGTTTTCAAGGAATTTCAGAATTTAAACGAACTCCTTTTCCTACATATTATTGCTATTATTTCTAAACTCATAAGGATTCCGAACTTGGATATAGAGTGGTTCGATGCACTTACGTGCGTTGAAGTTTCGATCCAACTGGGACCTTCGGTAAGACGTTAAGGCTAGGTTTAGCCGGCTGTTCGGCCTGGAAAATAACGGTTTTGGGGATGCATCCCAAAGAATTTCTATGCAAAAACAAGTCTTTTCTTCGATTTAATCGTAGTGAGAATGGCCATCGGTTCGTGTTACTCCGTACGAAAATTGCATATATTGATGAAACTTACATTGTAAAAGCCACAACGCTAAAGGGCATTCAAACAACATTTGGCTATCCTCATATACCTAATCCTTAACTCATTTTGTTTCAGACAATAAGCCGTCTTTGCTCCACCGGATCGCTCCCTTCCTCTTCCCAAAACGACGCCACATTAAGAAATGGAGTCCAGGAGTCTAGCCGCCGCGTGAAGCACCAGTTGCTATTCGATGAGATTGACTCGGCTGTTGCTGACAGCTTGACTACCTTTACTGACAACAGAAGCTTTGGTGCTGGCTTCACGCCACTTGATATCGTGGTTAGGTCTCCAGGGTCGCCGAGCAACGACAAACGAAGCCATCAATTTTGGGATTCGGGCCAGATTGCCGATGGGGTTGAGGGCGTATGTATTATGATTTTATGCAGAAATCATTAACTAGCATTATTTTTCGTATATATGAAGACCAAGATGATATGGCCTTCTATATTGTCGCAGTCTCCTTTATCTTTATAGTATTGGTCCGACCTTGTTTTCGCAACTTGGTCGGAGCGTCAGGGAGTCATTGTGGACCGTATCTAGTCCCGTGTCCTCTGCTATAGTATTCGTGGTTTACAGCATTGGGCCATTGGCTGGGTACATTCCCAAAGTAACTCGTCACTTTGATAAGTTGTAGTTCTGTGCTTACAATGTCACTTCTCATTGACGATGCCGGCGAAACGTTTGTAAATGTATCCAACAAATCGTCTAACACTAGAATTTACGAATACTATAGCAGTAGAAATGGAACTAGGTACGCTCCGCAATGACTTCCTGACGATCCGACCAAGTTGCGAAAACAAGGTCAACCAACACTTTCCGTATTGTTGTTTATTGCTAACTCGATATATTTGCTTAAAATTTGGTCTGTGAATATCTGAAGCCTGATGGAAATTCACTTTGCCTCTTAAGTGGTTGTTTTTTGTATTTTTTACCCATGTTATGCTTAATCTTGGCCAAGGACAGTACTAAGAAAATAAAAATAAGTGGGTTCACTAATGATTCACTTTTGATTAATACACGAAGCAGGAAAAATGGGAACCATAGTGGGATAAAATTAATTAGTACTGGCTAGTCGCATAAGGACGATGAAAAGAGGTATA